TTAAAAAGTATTTATAGAAAATATTTTAGAATAAGTAAATAAGTGTTAGATTAAATATTTTAGAATATTTTAGAATAACAACAAAAAAACGTAAATAATAATTGGGTAATTATATTATTTATTTATTAAATAATGAATTGTAATTATAAAAGTTTTATTGTATATTTATAAATTAGCATATGTGGGTTATAGTTTTCTTTTTAATTTTATAATTAAAGAAAATTATGAGAATAATTAATATGAAATATTTATTTTTTTAGGAAAAAAATTTTTTAATATTTTATTTTTCATTAAAAATTATTTTTTATAATGTTATTTACATGTTTCTTATATAAATATTGTTATATTGAATAATTATTAAGTAAAAACAAAAAACAAAATAATAAAATAATAATGGTATATTTATAAATTTTAATAAAATTTCTAATATTCATACTATATATATATATATATATATATATTTTAATTTTAAATAAATCTATTATTATTTATACAATATTATTTTGTATTTTTAACTATTGTCTTTTAGGTACAAATGTTCAATGTTATATGGTTTTAAATGTTAGTAGTTGTGTAACTATACATATTTTAATGCGAAATATTTATATATAATAATTATGTAATTACATTATGTATGTTGCTTTGATTTGCAAACATCATTTTTTTTTTGCTGTGTACTTTAAAATTGGATAGTTTTTTTTTTTTTGAAAGCAACTTAAATCCATTCACAATTTCAAAATTCCTTTGATAATGTCAATAGTTCGATTTTGTAACTTGGGTTGTTGGCTAGGACTTTAAAACCGAAATTGAGACAATATTTCATTATTATTTGAAATGCAATCAAGTCACTTTCGAAATAAATCATCCAATTAATTTTAATTTTAATATAATTTTTAAATGTTTTTATATGTGTGGGTATAATTAAATTTTTAAATGAATTGTTGTTTTTATTTTTAAAATATTAATCATATTTTAATAAAGAATGTAATTTTAAAATTTAAAGTTATAAAAATTTTCTTCCATATAAATTAAAAGTTAAAAGAAAGTTCCTTATTCAGCTGAAAACAAAAAAAATTTTTTTTTATTATTCAATAATTTTTTTTTAGTATTCAATTGAGTATAATCAGAAAATTTAGTTAATGGATAGCTAAAAATTTATTTTGTTGTGTCATTCAATATTTTTTAATTTCTTTGAAATTCATATTTTTCGCATTAAATCAAATAAATACAGAAAATTTATTATTCGTATTTTAAATTTTATATTTTAAAGGAATAATAAAAATTTTTTGTTTCATAAAATAAAGCAAATTTTAAAAAGGAAAATATTTTGTTTTCTACTATAGTAAAATTATTTTCTTTATAATTTCAATTCCTATCAGTTATACATTCCTTTAACATAACATCTAAATATAATTTCATTTTGTTATTTAATGTTATATGTACACAATAAAATTATATTTACATTAATATAATATAATTAAATTTTGTAAAATAGATTTTAATTTAAGATTTCATTTAAAAGAAAATTATTGTAAAAATTAAATAATTACCTAAAATAATAAATTTTAAGGATAATTTTGTAAAATATTTTATGTCTAATATATTTAATAATATTCAAATAAAATAATATATATAATATAGCTATAAAGAGAATAAAGTGAATAATATATCAAAAGTATAAGATTTACAAATTATAAACTAAAGGATTGAATTTTCAAATTTATTTTTATATATATATATTATAAGATATATTTCCGAATATTTACATATTATATAATATATAATAAATATCACTGTTTAGTATATAAGAATATTCAAATATATTTAACAATTCTTATATGAGCTCTTCTATGTCCAATAACTATAATTGAATATATTTTGTATAAATAAAAAAAAAATTATTGTGAATTTTCAGAAAAATTTTCAAATACAAACTCAACGTAATACTCGAATTGAGTAAAAATTAATATTATACTCGAATAGAAACAATATACATTTAATATATAAATTTTGTGTATCTTAATTAATGCTACATGCGACAGAATATTAGTTTGTTTATTTACCACTTTCTTATATTTAAAGAGAAATTGCCGCGCGTCAATTTTTTGGCAGACTTCATATAAAATCTATACTCGTATTATGTACTATTTATTATGAATTGTATCAATCATTTGTCGCACGTTGCATTTAATTAGGTATAGAAGTTATTATGTAGTTTTATGAATAAATTGACAATTTCAATTTACTCATAATTATTTTAAAATTAGTCAATATTAAGTTCTTAGCAAACTCGCAACAAATTATGGAGAATTATAAATAAATTTTAAATTTTATTAATATTAGAATAAAGTGTATAATTAATTAATAAATTTAATTAAATTATTTAATGCAATATTAATAATAATAATAATAATAAATTTTTTTCCAATTTTATAATTAAGCAAAATATTAGACCGAATTTTTTAATTCAGTTTTTAAGAGCTCATATTTTTTTTTCTCTCACAGCAAAATTTAAGTGAATATTTTATGGATAGTAGTGATTTGAGTATTTCTTTTATTTTTTGGTTCTTCTGATAAATATTAAAGGAATAATTAATTAATTATCTATAATAAAATGAATTGCAAAAAAAAAAAGTAAAAATAAAAGAAAGAAAAAAATTTTTTTTTGTTTTTTTTTTTAAATTTTTTTTTCTAAAATTTTTATTTAAAATATAACAAACTCATTTTGGGATATGAGATAATTTTTTTTTTTTTTTCATTTTAAAATTTTTATAACAACAGTTTTATTTTTTTATTTTTATTTTAAATACAATATTTTTGCTTTTTCATTTATACAATTTCAATTTGTTTTAATAATTTTTTCTTTTAATTTTTGTGGTTTTTTGTTTGTTTTTTTTTTCTTTTCAAAAAAAAAAAACAAAAAATTAAAGTTTTCTAAGATTTTACAATTTTTATTCTAACTAGAAACTAGGTACTTTGATGCATTTTTTTCTTTTTTCTATTTTTTTTTTTAACTAAATATTTTTCTTTATTTCAATTAAAGCAATTTTTTGTTTGTTTTTCCTTTTTTATTATTAATTAAAAATTATAATTATAAATGGTTCGACATGTAATTTTTAATTTAATTTAATTTCTCTTTCTGATTTAAATTTAAAGCAAAAAATTGAAATGTTAAAAAAAAATGTTTGTAAATTTTGTAAAAAAATTGAATGAAAAATTATTGAATTTAAGATTATTAAAATTTAATTATTCTATATTTCAGTACATATTAGAATTCTCCGCCGAATCTATTGTATATGCAAAACAAGCATTTACAATGAGGGCCGGAAAATGGAGGCGCAATTGAAAACTTGAAAAAAAAAAACAACTAAATTTTAAAAATAGAGAACCAGTGACAAATTGTCAATTTCTGGTTTTTAGAAAAATGTCAGCACCTCACAATTTAGAATAAATTTGTGAAAAATAAAAAGCTAATTTTGTAATAAAATATTTTTTTTTGATAAAATTGATGGTTGAAAAAAAAATCATGTTAAATCGCATTATGCAGCATAATGACAAACAGTTGTAGTTGTTAAATTAAAGATAAAGACTAAGATTTCAAATTTTTGACAACACATAACCTAAAATGTCCAACTTTTGACATGTTATATATAAAAATCATATTAAATATATTTTTACAAATTGTTTAATTTTGTAGCAATAAAACAATTCATAAGGTTAATAATAAAAATAAAAAAAAAAAAAGAAAAATTAAAAATTTTCAAATTTAAAATTTTATTTTAATTTTATTTTGAAAATAAATTTTTTCTACATTTAAAAATTAAAATATAATGTCAACAATTTATACATTTTTGTTTTTGTTTTTTCTACATTTGGTATTTTAGCCGATAACAAGAATATAATAATAAAAAAAAAAAATTAAAAAATAGATTTAAAAAACAAATCAAAGACAAATAAAATTAAAATTTATTTAATTGTAAATTTTATTTAATTTAATTTTTTAATTGTTTTAAAATACAAAAAAGAAAAACTAAATATTCAATTTGATTTTGGGGAAATTTTATTTTGCATTTAAATTTTTGTTTTATGAATTTTTTATACAATTACAATTTAAATTATAGTTTTTCTAATTTTTTATTTTTTTTTTAAATAAATTTTTTATTATTTAAATTTATTACTCATTTTTTTTTTACAATTTTGTTTGGATTTGATTTTTTTTTTTTTTGAAATTTTATGAATTTTACTTATTTTTTTTTTTATTTTTTTCTTTGTTTCGTTTTTTTTGGTTTGGTTGTGGAATTAAAGCAATGGAAAAGGCAAGCTAACATTTTTCTTTTTTTATACTAAATTTTATTTTTAATTTCTTTTTGTTGTTTAAAGTAATTTTTTTCCAATTTTAATTTTTATTTTATAATTTACAATTGTTTATTTATTTTTTTTTTTTTGTTTTTTTGTTGGTTGTCATTGAAATTGATAATATTTTACATATACATATATAAATTTTTTTTTTTTGGTTTTTTTTTTAACAATTTGTTATACAGGATTTCTTAATTATATTTATTATATTTTCTGTAATTTTAAATGAAATGAAATGTTATCGGTATTTTAGATACAATAATGTTAATTAATCTTGATTTTTATTTTAGTATAAGTGTTTTTCAAATGATTTCAAGATGATTTAATAATGTGTTTTTCAAATGGTTTTGGTTTAGTTCTATGGTTTTTGGTTTGAATATTAAATAATTTTTTTTTGGTTTTGGTTTTGAATATATAAATTTTTAATAATATTTTTAAGTATAATATTTAAAAAAAAAATTATTTTTATTTTTACTGAACAAATATTTTTTTTTTGTTTTCAATTAATTATAATAATTTTTTATTTTTTCTATTTTTGGTATGAATATATTTATACAAATTTTTTAATAATATATTTATATTATTTTATATATATGAATATATGCATGTATTAATGAGAAAAAAAAAACATTAAATTATGTATATTATTAATATTAACAAAAAAAAATTACAAAAAAAAAACAGAGAAAAAATTAAACATAAAATTATAAAAATTATACAAATAAAAAAATGACTTAAAACAAAATCACACTTTACTGCACCCAAGTTGCTGGTGCCCAAAGTGGTTCTGTTTCAGCTCGATGAACACAATTAACTAATTTTTCTAATGCATCACCAAGTTCATTATTGATGATTCCTTCATCAAAGAAATGCCCATAAAGAAAATCAATTTTTTCAGCTGATTTTATCATATCTTGGAATTCTTCATCCTAAAATAATAAAATAAAAACTTTTAAAATTAAAAAATAATAGCAATTGTGATTTTAAAAGAAAATTTTTGTGATTATAATAAAAAAATTTTTAATATGACATGAGTTTCAGTGAAATTTATTTAAATTTGATATTAAATCAACCATTTGGTCTTGCAAATATATCCGAACTTTTTTTTAAGCAATTAAATTTATTTTATAACAATATTATTAATATAAAAATTAATAAATTACCGTAAAACCTCTTGAATTTGTATCATCAAATGTTGATTTAGCACGTGCTGCTGTTCTTGTCGCTTTTAATTCATCAAAATTTGGTGGTTTTATATGAATAATATATGGTTTTAATTGTGCTGTTCGGAGGGCTTTTATTGCTTGATAATGTGGGCTTAAAATACATACACAATTAGCATTTACAATTGATTTAACACTTTCAGCTGATGTTCCATATAAATGTCCTTTATATTCACCATGTTCTATAAATTTACCATTAGCAATATCAGCTTCCATTTTTTCACGTGAAACAAATATATATTCACGACCAGGAACTTCACCTTGATGCATTGATCTAGTTGTATCTAAAAAAAAAAAAAATGTATATTAAATTTATTTAAAATTTAAAATATATTATTTAATGGCAAAGAAATAATATAATACATATATTACATGGAACTGGACTACGATATTTTTCCGGATCCCTTGCAATTAATCTTCGCTTTAATTCATTCCTTCCAATGCCGGGCGCTCCAATTAATACTATTGGCCTATAAATACCAGGACGAGGATATAATTTGGCTACTTCTTCATAGGTGGCTATCATTTCACGATCAAAATCATCATTTTCATCTAAGTCGTACATAATTTTTTTAGTTTTTGGTCCACGACATGTACTATTACTATTTAAATTCGGGGAACCAGGTGGGGTAGTACAAATGGATGCACAGGAACCATCAGCTTTTGATGTTTTTTTTTTGTTTTTATTTAATGTTTTTTTTACATGATTAATATGATTTATGATGTGATTATATTTATTTTAGTAATTATGTTAATTGTTTTTTTTTTTATTTAAGTGCGATGACACGATTATTTAAAAATGAAAGTACATTAGCGAAAGATGTTAATAAATTCAAGTTATGATTATTAATTGCATAATTTTTTCATTATATACACACACACAATTGTAATTTTATGTCGAGAAGTTTTATGATATTTTATTAAACATTTTAAATGGCAGATGATGATTATTTTATACATTATTGATGATGACCATTTGATTATGTGGAAGGAATTAATGATTATTCATGTAAGTACGTATATGAAAATAGATAGTAAGGGAAATTTTAAGAATTATAAATATTTAAATGATTTTTAGTTTAGAGTTTTTATATTATGTTAGGCGGGTTCTGGTTATAGATTGGGACTAAATTAAAATTTGATTATTAAGGAATCTGATTTTTGTATTGGGAAATCATTACAAAAATTAAATTTTTTTCAACATACTTTTAGATTCTGCATTAGTATTTGTAGCTTCTTTTTGCGTTCTTTCATGAATTATTCGTCGTTCTTGTAATGCTCTACTTGGTATAAGTCCAGCACGTGCAGTCCTTTCAGATTCTTTACGAGCCTGCCACCAGTATCCATCATCCTATAAAATTTTATATATTAATGAAAACTAGTCTTAATAAATCTATGATACAAAACTGATTAAACCAAAATGCTATTTCAATATATCAATTTTAGTTTACCTGTGCTACTATATGTAAAATATCTCCTCGTTGAAATGCAAGACCCGCTTCTTTACATGGTATATATGGATCATTTTCTGGATTATAATCAAAATATGCACGTACACGCACTTTACTCTCTCTTTGACCTGATTTACCATCTGATGGTACTAATTTAAATGTTATTGTTCCTTCGGAATTTTGCTGTCCATAAAATAAGAATTATTTTTATTTTGGTCAGAATAAAATAAAATTATTTATAAAATTTTTTATAAATTTCAGTTCCAGGAAGAAATAAGTTAAAATGTGACACTTTTTTGTAAAAATAATATATAAAAGCGTTTGGCGTTCGTATTCCAAACGTGTAACGGTATATGTAAAAATATTTCCAGAAATCTTACGATATCCTTTCGGGTTTCACATGAGGTATACATTTCTTTGAAAAAGTGGTTCGAGTCCGCATTGGATTTAAACATAAACATGACATGTATTAAATTGTAGATTTTTTAGTGGAACGAATTGGGTAACGGAATATCTTTCCAGGGTCACCGCAATTATTCGCGATTTCTTGTAGCATTTCCGCTTATTATATTTCTGTTCCAAGTATGAAGCTGGAATTCTCTAAGGGAATTGGACAGCAGTTTCTAAATGCTTAGAAAACCCCGCTTTAAACAATTGCGACGTCGGACAGAGAGTATCGGACAGAATGTGTATGGTGGTTTCATTATTGCCCACATAAAACCTTCACAAGGGGAGCCCGACTTCCCCAACTTATGCAGTCGATATTTTATTGAGAAGTAAAAAACCTATTTCTACTAAACATTACAACTTCGTGTCCCGCCAGTAAAGGTCGCATTTCGCTCCAGAAGGAAGGGAGGCCTGCACATATATTTTAACTTGTATATAAGAATATTAAATAAAAAATGTTAACATATTTATTGTGTGTAATATAAAATGAGACTTACAAGAATGGTAAGAACATCGCCTGGTGTTTTACCTTCAACATTAATACCATTTACTTCAATTACTTCATCACCAACATGTATAAGACCAGATCTATCAGCAGCACCGCCATGCATTATTCTTGCTATAACAATTTTCCCTGTTTCTTCATCAGTTTTAATTGTGGCACCCTGTAAAATAATATTTTTTTTGTTTTGAAAACTTAATAAGTTTTTTGCTTTTAACTTTTTAAAAATTTTAATTTATAATATAAGGATAAAAATTTAAAGAAAATTTTTGGTTTTTCTTTTTTTGGAATAATAAAAATATAAAAAGGTGCAAACACAACACAGACTATAATATAGTAATATAATAATAAAATATTTGTATAAGAAACAGGGTGCTTATTAGATAAAAAAAGAAATTACTTAAATTTTTGTTTTTTTTTTGTTAAAAAAAATTTAAGAAATTTTTATATTTTAAAGTATAAATTTAAAGAAAAATGTTTTTTTTTTGGAAAATTTTTAGAATTAAAAAATATTTTTAAAGAAAAGTAAAATTTTAAAATAAGAAAAAAAAATTCTAACATAAATAAAATGGGCCTAAAAATATGCTTAATTTTTTTTTTTTGAATTTTTTTTTTTGCTTGGATTACTTTCTGCACAACGATAATTTTACTTACAACAATTGGTTCCGCACTTATTGCTCCTGACTAAATTTTATGTCAAATGCAGCAAAGTAAGTTATTAAATAATTATATAAATAATTTTGAATTTTTTGTTGTTTTTTTTTTATATGAATTTGTTTCATTAATTTTCTTAAAACTTTTATTAAAATAATTTTATTTTTTTTTTTAAAAAAAATTATATTTTTAAAGTTCTTGAATAGTTTACCAATTTTGATTAAAGAGAATTACATATTTCATAAAAAGCATGTCGTTTTATGAAGTATAATCTCGTATCGCATATAACACCGTACAACGGCAGTAAATTTGTACAAAAATTGACTTTTTGATTGAAACGAAATCTGGCGAGTAGTAGCAACATTTTTATATTTCAGAGAATTACTATAATCATTATTATTATTATTATTAATTTCGTAAAACGAAATGAGTTGTCGGAAATGTACTGCATGCATAATAATGATAAAATCGAATAATTTTTAATGTCCCATCAACATTTTAGAAATTTCGAGTTACGCAGTATATGATGTGGTATTTTTAATATCGCTGTATCTGTACGAGCGAGTTTTTTTTGAGTAAATTAAAATAAATTGAAAATGAAATTGAAATTGAAAATTTTTATTGCTTCTATACTAGTTCTTTTTTATTATTTTAATTTTATTGCTAAAGACAAAAATAAAACATGTGTTTCGAATTTCAAATTGTTTAAGAAATTATATACAAAAACGCATACACGTATGTATGCATAAGTTCAGATAATTGTCAGATATTTTTAAAGGGTGATTGTGAATAATTAAGAAATAGGCATATGAAATTTGATTTGTATATGACTTATTCATTAAAATACATTATGCATGAAAAATATACATTTCGTAATATTATTATTAATCTGTTATAAATAGAACATTATTTTTTCATTAAATAATATTATATTTGATATATCTTTAATTCAAAAATTGATTTTATATTTAATTTAAAATTCACAATTAAAATAAATTTTCAAGAACATGTCTTAATTTTAATAATAAAAAAAATCTCGCTTTAAAAATATAAATATAAAGTATTCTCTTTAATCAAAGGCTATTAAAATATAATTTTAATAACAAAATATATTTGTATATATACATATATAATATACAAATATATACATATATATGTAAACATATTTATAAGAGATATGAAGTGAAATTTTTTTTTGTTTTGAGATGAAAGTAATAAAATGAGAAGTATTTTGTTATACGAAAACCAAAAAAAATACTTTTCTAATAAAATATAGCAATTTTAATAGGACAAATCAGGAAACAAAGTTGTATACAATATAAATTTTTTCGAAGATATTTAATTAATTTTTATATTATGGTTTTCCTGATTTGTATCTAATTCGTATAGTTAGAATTAATTATTGTACAATACACTTTTATTTCATTATACCTTATATTAAGTCTAGACTCCATTTATTAATTTTAAAATTCAAATATGCAACTTTTATGATGCAAAATAAAATGTGTTAAAATCATTATTTAAAAATAATGTATTTAAATGAAAATAAAAGTAATCAAAGAAATGTAATCAAAAATTTATGATTATAAATAACTTATATTTGTCTAATTAGTTTTAGAATTTTAATTGCATTTTATTATATGCTAATTCAACCTGATTATATAATTGATAAGGGTTATAAAATTGGACAAAATGTGTAGTTTAAAATAAAATTTAATTTGAATAATGCTATTAATTTATGAATTAGAAAAAAAAATACTTAAATGTACCTATATATTAAAAAAAATTTTTTTCTTTAATAATTTTTTGGTTTTCATATAAATCAAGATTGAATTATTGAATAAATACGATCAAATTAAGAGTATTAAAAATAAATAATAACATAAAATTTCTAATTAATTATAAAATTAAAATCGCAAAAAAAAAATAGATTAAATAATGTAATCACATAGTAATCATGTTGTAAAGGTGATGAGAAAAAAAAGAATGAGAGCAGAAAAAGTTTAAAAATTTTTCTATCAAATTTTTATAAAAAAAAAAAATGGTTTTTATTAATTGATTAATAAAGTCAATGTAAATTAAATATTAATATTAAATTGCAAACATAAATCAAAAGTTTTGTTTATTTTAAATATTTTTAAAAAATTGTGTTTTTTCAATTGTCATCTGTCATCTGCCCCCCTGTCAAATGTGAACTGACAGCTATCCGGTGTCGCCTTTCACCTGCCAAATTTCAACTGTCGACTGGGAAATGTCACCTGTCAACTATCATGTGTCAAATGTCATCTGTCATCTGTCAAATGTCACTTGCCTTCTGTCACTTGTCAAATGTCATCTGTCAAATGTCACTTGTCAAATGTCATCTGTCAAATAACACCTGTCACTTATCACGTGTCAAATATCATCTATTAACTGTTAACTATCAACTGTTACCTGTTACCCCCTCCCCGACTATCGGTAAAAGATCAAATTGCAAGAGCTAAAACTTAAGTGTTCCAATTTATACTGAATATTAAAGTTTCACTCATACTACACGGATGATGTGTCAATCAAAATTTGAGTAATTAAATTACATTGACCATTATAATTTATTTTTATCTATTCTAAAATACTTATTAATATAATAATATACTTGTTTAATTAATATGAGAGTTTATAATTAAATATAATAAAAAGTCATAAACAAAGTTATAAAATATAAATATTATAAAAAATAAATGATAAATGTGTTGTATTTAAAATTTTTTAAAATGATTGAATGATAAACTGATTATTATTATCATAATAGTATAGTTTTCATATTTAAAATTGGTAATATTTATTTTAATTAAAATTATTTATTGTTGTTTTTAGTGAAAAATCATTCTCTTTAAATATTATTCTTAATATAAAATTTATTATTTTTTCTTTTTGTAAATATACAATAATATTTTATGCAGATAAATACTAATCAGGTTGTTTCACATAAGATATTTATGGTTTGTCGAGTAGGGGGATATGGGTAGTCAAAGTCGAATTTTAACAAACTCAGAAATTTAATTTGGAAATAGTGTGTTTAGCTTAATAATTATTATATATTGAGCAACTGATTAAATGTGGTTGACCGTTCCCGTAATTGAAATATTGAACATCAATACTTAAACATAAAAACTAATGTTACATGCTCCGCAAAAATTTGATCTTCACGACAACACTGAATGTATTCCTTTAATTTTGTACATTGTTAATGAAAACTTGTTAATTTAAATTGATTTGGTGTTACATTTTTTCTGAAAATTACTTAAATCTGTAGAGAGAAGCATTAAAAAATTCCATTCAGAATTTATTTTGAATCGAATTATAACCTTAATTTAATTTTGACTTCCATTTTCTTTTCACCCCTTTTAATAATTGAACAGTTAAAAATCTTATGTGAACAATAACCATTATAATTAGTACACACACACACATATTGTAGTGTGTAATAGTATTTTTAATATGCGTATACAAATATCATATTTTTATTATAATTTTGGAAATTTAATTAAACTTACCAATGGTTCATTGCTTTTAACTAATTGAACAATTTTTATTGTTTCTTCATCTTCATCCATTTCCATTGGTATTTCAGGGAGATGTGGATAAAAATCCTTTTGAGCAATAGCATCATGGGCAAATAATAAGCTCTAAATATATATTATATATTTTGTTTATATGTGGATGTGAATAAGTGCAGTATATTGAAAATTGAGAGCATTATAAGAAAATAAAAAAAAAAAAAAACAAAAGAAAAAAAAAAGGATTAAAAAAAATTAAAAAAAATTAATTATTCAGTTTGGCATCAATTTAACTTTTAATTGAATTTAATATTATATTATATATGTAAAATATAGTTAATATGTGTATATGCATACGACGTGCACATTTTGTCAATATTTATAAAAAATTCAATAAAAAAGTTTATAATATAAATTATAGGGTATCCTATTTTTGCTTTGATAAAACTAACGGAGGGGTTTTTGAAATATTTGAATTTGCTTTTAGGGTTTTATGGCACCTGCCTAAATCTTGCCCCTCTATCGGTGATATAAGGGTGCAAGCCACAATATCAAGTTTCTACAATGTCAAGTTCTATAGAACTTAAACAATCACCCCTATGCGTATGCATATATACATATATAATAATTATACAGTTTCTTTTTATTTAATTACAAATAATTAAATAATATTTTTGAATATATGAGTGGTGGCACACACAATAACCAAAAATATTAAAATTTAATTATAATATTAAAATTTTTTCTTCATAAAATTCAATTAGCCCCAATAATAAAATGAACTTTCGATAAACATAACCTTATACCTCAAAGGCCCCTTAATCTTATGCAATTTTTTTGTATATACATATAACTAGTTATCACTAACTATTAAAAAATTGTGGTTACTTTAAAATTTAAAGGCTTTTATTAAAATCAATGTAAATATGTTTGTGTACAAATTACATTTGTAATTATAATTACTGTTAATGCATTTGTATTAATTTTTTTTATTAAATTTCCAGTTAATTGAAATTAATTGATTTTAAAAAAAATTTATAATTTAATTACGATTTTCTGTTGAAATTTAATTAATTTTGTTTTTTTTTTTTTGGAAAATTATTGCTTACTGAAATTTCTCATATGTCATCAATTATATATTAATTATGTATATTGTATATATATATATATATATGATGACTTTTAATTTAATTAAAATTCATAATCAAAAATGTGATATCAATTAAATGAGAGTTTATTTTGAGAAATTAATATTAATATTTGTGGTGCAAAACTATATTGTTTTATAAATTGATAATTAATTATAAACTGCATAGTACAATATAGAAAAATCTTATATATAATTTATTATAAGTTAAAATAAACGAAATTAATATTTCTGTGGCAACTAGGCAAAACTACTTAAGTTAGATTTTGTAGTTTTGAATGTAAAAGAGGTTTAAAAATTTAAATTTTACTTCGAATGTATTATTTTATGTGTTTTAAAATCTGAATGTGGTTATGACGCGTCATAGCTTAATTGACAATATTATAAAATAGAATGTTAATATAAAATTAATTACCCATATATCCATATTGAACAAGTACAACCATGGGAAAGTTAGAATATATAAATTGCGCATAAGACCGATTCTAACTTATGGTCTAGAATGTCGAGTAGATATCTCAACAACCAAGCGGCTACTTCGAACTACTTGTGGTTAATAACTGGTAAAACTCTCTTAGATTGAGTAAGAAGCGCCAACTTCAGAAAACAATTTGATGTGTAAGATGCAGTTTATTGGGCTAGACCGTCTTTAACAACACACCACAATGTCATTGTGTTGATCCTATAGGTCATTCTCCCTCTGACTCTCTAAAAAGACGGCGAGAGTGCTGGACAAGCTAATTCGAGGAAGGTACTGTTTACAACTGGACGTAGTTTTATAAAAAGAAAAAGAAGAAAACTATGACAGGCTAGTTACCAGTCTTGTAGTTGTCCAATAACTTATGAAATTGAGGCTTGAGTTAAAAGTCGAACGGAAGACTCTAATGCTCTCATGTGGAGTAAGAAGAATAAAACCCAGTTAGTTGTATCATCATAGAATGCTTGTTTAAAAATAAAAACGGAACTCAAGTTATCTGTCAATAGAGATTATTGCAAATTTTCGAAATCATATTATGGACATGTTTTTCAAAAAAAAACTAATTCGTCTAAATTTTTTATGAAACTTTAATTTCAGTTCAGCTTAGAATTGTCCGAATTAAACCAGATTTTTCTCGATACGACAATTTAAATTTAAATATACGACAAAATACTTGAATACCATATATAATATCACTTTTGTGTTTGAATCAATTTAATCCAGTATACCATTTAATATCTTAATTTCGCGTAAAGTTCGAACTTATGTAATTTTGCCATATGACCACAGATTTGTGTCTTTAAATAATATACTATACATATATGTTTAATATATATACATATATATATATATATAAATTACTTGCAAATGCGGATCCTGTAATAAATGAAACGCCTCTTTACACATCGGTGATATGTGGCATCGTTGTGATAATTGTTCTAGTACCTCATGTAACACCTTTGTATTTTATTATTTTATATATACAAAAAATAATAATTTTTGATTAATTTAGTTTTATTTCTTATATATATATATATATATAATGTACATTAATACTTTACCTGAGATGATGATGATAGTAATGGTGCTAAACGATCATCTTTACATACTTTTGCTACCTTACTATGTACATTAACCAGGGCATTTAATTCTTTTGATTCCAATAATGTTTTCAAAAAATCTATTTCCTGTTCACTAGATAATGTTTCCGTTTCTTTCAATGATGTAACTAGTTTAGATAGGGCTGGGAATGAATAAACTTGAACAATTAAAATAAAGTTCATTGAAATTTTTTTTTTTTCATAATCAAAAAAAAATTCTAAAAAAAATAATAAAAAAAAAATATTTTTTGATAAATTTTTTTTTTTTGTTTTTTTTTTTTTATTTTTGTGTTGGTGAAACTGTAATGACTGTTATTATAATCGTGCAAAAATAATACGTACAACAACTACTAAGCTCATCTATATTTAATACTTCTACGCCTAGGGCTAATCAAAAGAAACAAAAAAAAGGTGAAAATGAAAAAAAAAATTAAAAACTTTTGGAGAAAAATTGGAAATTTGTTTTGTTTTTTGTTTTTTTTTTAAATTCTTTTGATAATTAGAAAGGAAAAATATAAAAGAAAAAAATAATTTTTTTTTGTGTGTCAAAATGGGAATTTAATTTTGGAGAAATAAAATAATAGAAAGAGAGAAGAAAAAACAAAATATAAATTTGAAAGTAAAAAAAAAAGAATACGAAAATAAAAAAATTTTAAATTGTCTGTGTTTCTGTTGTATAATTGTATGTGTTTGTGTTTATGGGCAGTTTGAATGGTTTTAAAAGCAGTTTTTGTTATGGTGAGGTTTAAAAACGAATAACATTTGGAAATTTTTTAGGAAAATTTTTATTGTAATTCAGAAAATCATTCTGGTAACAATTTTTATCTTAATCTTAACAAGTGACGTATGTATATTTACCTAAGTTATCTATGAAATGAAAAAAAAAAATGTGCTAGAACTTTAAGTAATATGAGAACATGAATACATATTACATGTTCTCAAGTTACTCGAGTATGTATATATTAGATTATAGAATTGAGAACATATGTATATATGAATTTATTTTCAATACAAAAACAAATTATTTGGCATCTATTTGATAGAACTGTCATAAAAATAATTCGTGTTATGTATAAGTTCCGATGTGTTGATGAACTTATTTCAAAGTGATAAAAAATTTAAATTGGACACCATTAAAACTTAAAAATTAAAATTTGAAAGCAATTAAATTCGGAGCAAAAAACAAATATTTAGTGAGCTCATATTTGGTTTTACAATCTTTATACACATAGAGAACAAAGGTGTGCAATAATAATCGTCATGTAGTGTAATAATAATGAAATAATTTACGTTATATAGCATTTAAGAAAAAAACTCAGAAATCAAAGGAAAATATTTTTTTGTTTTTCAATTATCTGGGTATAGTAAACAACAACTAAATTGAAACAATTTCTAAATGTTTCTGATTTTAACTAAAAATAGAACAATTTTGTTAATACATAATACATTTCTATATCTGCGTACATTATGTACTCCATATATATACATAAGTATATATTGCAATGAATTCTTATTACTATAGGATTTTATGATAATATTGGAAAATTCTTGGAAATAATTTTTTGATCCAAAATTTTTAAGATATTAGAATCATAAATCACTTTAACACATGTTACAATTATAATACACAATGTCATTTGATATATAAAATAATACTTAATATATATATATATATATGTGTGTGTATTATGTTTGAAATTATATAGTATATATATATGTATATGGAATGTAATGAGAAATTTTTGGGGGAAAAATATTCTATAGTTTTCAATGTTATTTGGAAATACGTCAAAGAGTGTATACACTAGAAAATTATATTTAAAAGAAAAATAAAACAAAAAACAAAGTAATCTATATAAAATTGCCCATTAATAATAATTCATGAACTCATTTTTAGGTCAATGCACAATAATTTTACGATATTTAAAAAATCTCTATTTTTTACCAATCGCATTGCATATTTTTAGCTAATAAAAGATAGGTATTGTAATGGCACCCAAAATTCTTATTTCAGAAATACTCATTTGCCTATATTTATGTGTGACATAATTTGTTTACGTTCTCGTACATGTAAATTTCGTTTGAGCCGATTTTAAGCAATTTGCACCTACTAACTATATGTAGTTGTCTGACAGCTCAATGACAGATTAATCAGATTCAGGTCTGACATTACCTCAGCAATTAGAATTGTACAGTTGCGGACGGTTTTAAATTAGAATGACAGCTAGCAGAATTAGAATGACAATTTGCTTCAATATAACTATAAGATATATTTATAAGAAAATAATTAACGCAATTTCTTGAAATTGAATAATTGAATTGAGATTATAAAGGACACAAATAAATTTTTCAAGACAAATTGAACTCCAGGAAAACTCATCTGTGCTAAGAAGAAAATTTATATTTTCGTTGGTATATTTGACTAGTTACCACAGTTGTCGTAAAATTCGTGCGACATGAAGTGTTTACAGAAAAATTTTATAATCTTTTGCAACCTTAAACTATAAATATGAACAATAATAATTGGGACTTCTAAAAATTATTCAGAAAATTAAACACACCGCCGTTGATTATGTCTTGACCACATTAAATTGATTTTTTTATAAATATTGTGGCAATTCCTTTTCGGATTTGTTTATTTTAAAAGTACTAATGCTACTGTTGTTTTGATCAAAATTAATCTGCAACATTCTTGTAAATTGTTTTAATATCTCTTATATATATACATATATATATATATATATATATATATGCATATAGCCATCTAAAATATTATTTTCAATTTTATTTAATAGTTTATAATGAAAATTTCATTTTAAATATTGATTTGTCATCTACATAGAAGGTCATTGAATTTTTAAGAGAGTAATTTATGTGTAATTTTTCAATATACAAACACCCATGTAGCTATAGCCATGTTAAGTTAATATTAAAAGGAAGAATATGACAAAATAAGAATTGACATACTATGCATAGATTAGAAGGACATGTACATGTATATGTGTAAATATTTGTGTTTGTATACATGTAGTTAATAAAATAAATATGACAAATTTAGGGCAAAAGTTAAATTAAATATTAATAATATTATTGGAAATCTTGAAACATGTCCAGGATATTTTGTCATATTATTGAAAAAAAATAAGAAAAAATTAAAAAATCTTGAGAAAAGAACTTAAAGGATTAAATACAGAATTTAAAGGAAGTTGAAAGCAAAAATAAGAAGAAGAAAAACAGGAGAAGAAAACAAAATTTTAGCTTTTAAATAAGAAAAAAATTCAAATATCCTTTTCACTTATACATACAATATGCATATAATAGAGAAAACAACAACAAAAATGAAAAATTGTGGAACAATAAAATATTTTGTATTTATTGTTATTTTGCAGGAAAATGTGAGTAATTGTGTGTATTTACGAATATTTGAGAGTGTGTAATGTTATTTTCGTACTTCCCTATTAAAAAAATTCTATGTGTATATACGTATAATTAAATTCGAAATTTTTTTTTTTAAATTCAATATTTTCGCGTTTTTTAATGAATTTCGTACACTTATTTATGAGATTAATACGAATTTATCTGAAAATTGCATGGCATATGATTAATTGAGTGCGATATATACAATAAAATGTCAAAAGTGAAAGAATTTCCTATAGTGATTTCTCGCACGAAAATAATCAACTTGGTGACTTTTAATTCCGAAAACTCCAGACAGTTTACTCCTTAAAATATTATAGTGCATAGCTGAGAATTCGACGATTGGATTATTGTCACTTGAAGAAGCTGACACAAATAGATTAGAAGACATTTTGGTAGAAAAGTAGAAAACTATTCAGGATTAATATATATACTTATATACCGATTTCTTAAGAGAGCAGAACATGAATTTGATCAACGAAAACCTGTAATTTGACTTAAAATAAGAAGTGAATTCCACAACGTATTGATATAGCAAATCGACATGATAATGGTACTAATTGGGGTATATTCGATGCCGGTTATTCTAAGCAACAAATCAACTCGCTATGGTGAACTGTATATAGATTTTTACAATTCAAATATATTCTTATGAAAATTGCTTTATTAGTTATACTAGTTTTAATTACTATATTCAAATTACACTGTCTTTGAAATCAACACTCAATGTTTGTTAATTCATATAGTACCTATATACAATATTGGCAATCTAATATAAAAGTCTGACCAAAAATTTCATTAAAATACGATTTTTAACAATTTTATGTTCGATAACCCCCGTAAGCGTAATTATGACACGCAGTATTGCTTTAGTAATTTTTGCTTTTTAATTTGATTTTAATTCCATGTATACAGGGTGATTCTAAAAGGTATATAACAACATATACAATTGGTTACAGGATCGAAAATGGGTAAAACATTTGTTTCAGACTGAGTGCCAAATCTCAAGGGTTTCCGACTTCCAGGGATTTTAACGAATTTTCACGAAATTTTTACTTATCTCAGTTTTTTGATTATAACTTCCGTTTTGAAAAATATGGGGACTTCAAAAAACATTTTGCTTGATTCTGTATTTTATGTATCTTCGGAACACAAAGCTTCGTAAACAAACTGTTTTTTTTGAAGTTCCCACTTTTTTCAGAACAGATGTTATAATCAAAATAAGTTGTAAAAGTAAAAATTTCGTGAAAATTCGTTAAAATCCGTGAAAATTCGGAACAAAAGTTATATTTATTTTCGATCCTCTAACCAATGGTATATGTTGTTGTATACCTTTCTCAATCACCCTGTATATATACGAATTACATATATTGTATAAAATGCTCACTCTTTACAGTGTTAAACCAAAAATATCAAAAAAAATGATTTTTTGCGCTTTGAAAATGTTCCAAAATTTTTTACTTATAATTTAATTTCCTGTTCAAAGTTATACACAAAATATTATGCTCTTGTATTTGAACTAAAAAAAAAATCGTTCCTTTATATTATACAGAATAATATTGAATGTGCTAGAAAAATATCCTGGAGTTGATTATATAGGGATTGAATTAAAACGAAATTTTTCGGGTTATGTGTATGAGAAATAAAAGATTGATTTTCTGTGTTTCTATGTTTTATTGTAGTGCATATACACACACATACAGTACTGAATACGATATACAGCCATGCCTTGTATATGATATGGGAGTTTTTAACTCATAACTTTGTATAAGGATATGTTATACATATACTCAAATGAAATTGTGTAGTTATTAATGCAATTTTATTCAAATTTCATAGTTATAAAAGAAGTTTAACCTCGATTATATTACAATTTAATAATGAAAAATTTTCTTTCATTTCAGTCTTTTTTTATTAAAATATATTATAAACTTGTAATAATGGTTAATGACTTTTTAAACGTTTCTATA